TAATTTGCATAAAGCCAGGTGCCGCCATTTTTAAATGTCTGCTAGTTCGGACTCTGTGCCCCGCAGCTACAGGCGGCACGAACTAGGTAGTTCGGACTAGGCTTCCTAGTTCGAACTACCGTTACTCCTCGTGGAATGAGAAGTAACGGTAGTTTGAACTAGGAAGCCTAGTTCGAACTACGTAGTTCGTGCCCCGTGTAACCGCGCTGCATGGGGTTCGAACGAGTGGGGTTTTAAAAATGGCGGCGCCCCGCTTATGCAAATGAAGCCCGGGAAATTCAAATCCCGGGCTTCATTTGCAAGTGCGGTATGCCTACATTACTCTCCTAGTTCGATCTAGGAGGGTAGTGTAGACATACCCTAGAAGGGTTGTGGGTGAGTGGTTTTCTCTTGGGCACTCCCTAATGGCCTGAGGACAGCCCTCCACATACTCCCTCATCTCAGTTTTCCCCCTTAGTTCCACAGTAAATTCAAAGAAGTTCCATAGCAGCCTTTTTCAGAGTCTATTTGTTAATTTAAAATTGAGAAATAAACATGTGTGGCCCCACCAGTCTTAAGCTGGACATGGTCCCCTACACAAGTTTTTCCCACTCTGTTGTATCTCTGCAACTTCCTTAGTCTGGTAATCTTTTTCCCCACCTCTGGTTTCCTGCTGTGGTTCATGAGGGACAGCTGATGTCTCTCAGCCATGCCTTCTCAGTCAATGGGGTTAGTCCAAGCCTCTATCCCACTGTGGCTTTGAAGTGTTTTGTTCATAAAACCATTGCACTTTCATTGATAATCTTTTTTTTTTAATTATTATCTTACCTGATCCATCTAATACCAACACCATCTTTAATGGTCACAAGAGTATGAATCCTCAAAACAAATCCCTGCATTTAATAAAAACAGCTGTAAAAAATCCCCACAGTTGAAAAAGACCGGAAGCAGGCCCAGATGGAGAGATTGAGCTTCTCTATACAAAGGACCCTTTTGTAGGTTTCCAGTATAAGGTTTAACCAGAGGTTTAGGCAGTGTGAGGTCACTGGGGGCGGGGGATGGGATGGGGCGGTACCTGCAGCAGTGTGAGGTCACTGGGGGCGGGGGATGGGATGGGGTGGTACCTGCAGCAGTGTGAGGTCACTGGGGTGGGGGATGGGATGAGGTGGTACCTGCAGCAGCATGATGTCATTATTAAAAGTGTTCTTGTTGTACCGCGGGTGGGGGATCTGCCGGCTCACGGGGATCACTTGCTGGCTCGGTTCCCGTTTGTCGATGTTGTGGGCTCCCAGGGTGACACTGATCCTGCTGTAAAAGCCGAGAGCAGCACGTGGGGCGTTAGGGGAGGAGGTGGGATTCATGTTTTTCTGGTTCCTAAATTCTGATCTTGTGGGGACGGGGCAGCCCGGGGCTCTCGGGCCGGGTGTCAGATTCCTTCCTTCCCCTTTAGACTTTGGTGTCAGCTCCACCCAGCCAACTCACCTCCAACCTGGCAGGGGCCCATGCCCAGCCCACCAGCCCATCGCCCTGCACAGCTGTATGGGGCTGGGACCCCTCCTTGCCTTGCTCTGGGAAGGTGCCGGACCCCAGCTGGGATCCTTGGCCATAGCTCCCTTGATTTCCCCAATGCAGGGGCTGGGCTGTGAGTTGCAGAGGCCCCTAGAGACTCGCTGATGCTCCCTGAGCAGGTTCAACCCCTGGGCTCTGCTCCCCCAGCCTGGCCACCCCCTACCCCTCCCCTGCCCTCCATGACGGTGCCAGAGCTCCCAGCTCCCCGTCCCCCACTGACCCCACCCAGCCCCACGTCCCCACCCAGAGGCACTTACTCTCCCCGGCAGTGAGCGGCCGTCAGCACAAAGTTCTCCGTCACCAGGAACCCGCCACAACGCTTGTAGTTGTGTCCTTCTTGTATACGCAGAAAGGCCATGTAGGGCCTGGAGTGGGGCTTGGCTTCATGCCCCCCGACGATCTCACCTGGGGGGAAGCCAGTGTCATAGAAAAGACCCTGTTGTCTCCCCAGGCTAAGATGGGACCAAGCTCCCCACCCTGAAGGCGAGTCTCACAGCCTCACGTCTCTTCAGTAATACTCTCCCTTGGGGGCTCCGTGGGCCTGGATCCCGGCCCCCTGCTCAGTTCTGCCCCACACTGGGCCCTCCGTGGGGCCAGAGGGGCTCTGACAAGCGGTGAAACCGACACACCCAGCTCCCATCTGCTTAGCCCTGCTGTCTTCCCTGCCCCATCCCATGGCGGATTTTGGTTCCTTAAGTGTCACCGCATTGGCCAGGATCTCGGGCACATGATTGGCACAGCAGGTCGGCGAATTCCAACCAAACACCGATCCCCTACATGGGAGGAGGAATCAGGCCGGTTATTTTCCTCCAGACAAAAGGAAACAGATTTTCATCCATCCTCCAGACTGCTCCTTGGGCCCAGCCATGAGTTGAATTCCTCAGGAAATCACACAGAGGATACATTGGCCCCTCGTCATATGTTCAAAACCGGTGCTGCCCCATCAGCTGGGAGCCCAGACTCACCCCCAGTGTCCTACACCCCTCGGCTTTAGGAAGGAGAGAATGGGAGAATGTTTTTTTTTCTAGCGAATACATGAAATCTTTCACCCAAAGGGTGTTCCCGTGAGCAGAATAAATCTGAGAGGCGTTGGCTCAGCAGGGCACTAACCATGGTGAACACACGAGTAGCACAAGGACGGAAATTACAAGAGTGGCCAGCAGTGCAAAATTGGAGCAGAGACGTCCTAAGCTTTGCTTTCACGGAAAGAGCTGTTGACTGTTGCCGAGAAAAGCTGTCCGGGACTTGAGAGGCTGTCCTGGAATTTTCTGAATAATCTTCTGAAATTTATAGACCCTCCTCCTGCTACCTCTCGTCTTCCCTCCCCACGTCCCTCCCTTCCCAGTATCTATCCCTCTTGTCTGAGTTTTGTTTCTAGCCTTTCTCTGACTTTAATAGCACTTCTGTAACTAGCTGGCCGACTCTAAGGGAATCGGGTTTGCAAACTGTGCAATGCAATACAGAATGGTATTCTAACCCCTCCTGGTGTCTATAACCCAGTGTTTCTGACCTAGCTAAGATACGGTTGGAAACATTTAATATCTTAAGAGATGTCTGTGCATTATGAGACGTTTAGGTGCATTTTGCGTCTTGTTTTCCCTCTTCCCGTACGTTCTAAAAATTAATAAAACGTTACTAAAGAAAAAATTCACATTGAGGGTTTTCCAAGAAGGATTCTAACCACTCGTATTACAGAACCCCCCATGTTTCCACCCATGCTAAGATGATATATTTCACATCTTAAGCAATTATGAGACATCCCAGTGCATATTGCTGCTTCTTTTCGCCCTCTCACCCTAACCAAATGTTACTAGACAAAAGTTCACACTGGGGCTGTGTCTGCACTGGCAGGATTTTCCGAAAATGCTTTTAACGGAAAAGTTTTCTGTTAAAAGCATTTTCGGAAAAGCACGTCTTGATTGGCAGGATGCTTTTCCGCAAAAGCACTTTTTTGCGGAAAAGTGTCCATGGCCAATCTAGACGTGGTTTTCCGTAAAAAAGCTCCCATCACCATTTTCGCAATCGGGGCTTTTTTGCGGAAAACTACTGTGCTGTCTACACTGGTCCTTTTGCGCAAAAGTCTTTTGGAAAAAGACTTTTGCCCAAATGGGAGCAGCATAGTTTTTCCGGAAAAGCACTGATGATTTTACATGAGATCGTCAGTGCTTTTCCGGAAATTCAAGCGGCCAGTGTAGACAGCAGGCAAGTTTTTCCGCAAAATCATCTGATTTTGTGGAAAAACTTGCCAGTCTAGACACAGCCTGGGGGTTTTCAATGAAAATTTGAAAATTCTCATAAAAGAAATTTCATAGAATCACAGACTACCTGAACTGGAAGGGACCCTGAGGGGTCATCGAGTCCAGTCCCCTGCCCTCATGGCAGGACCAAGCACCATCTAGACCATCCCTGACAGGTGTCTGTCCATCTTGCTCTTCAATATCTCCATGGATGGAGATTCCACAACCTCCCTAGACAATTTATTCCAGTGTCTCACCACCCTGACAGGTAGGAAGTGTTCCCCAAATGCCCAACCTAAAACTCCCTTGCTGCAATTTAAGCCCATTGCTTCTTCTGCTATCATCAGAGGTTAAAGAAAAGAACCCCCTTTTAGACACTTTTCAGACCAAACTCTGGACAGGTGTCCACCCAGGTGGGGAAAATCCGAGCTAGGGAATCTGTTTAAAGACATGAGGGTGGAGGGGACAGGAGGGGCAGACGAGGTATGGACATGGAAGGATGATGTTGGCACAAGAGGAAGTGGGGTAAACGAGGCAGGGAGGGGTCATGGTGGAAATGAGGTGTCTGTCTATAGGGCCTGTCAGACTACGTGGTTTGGTTTGATCCTGGGCAATCCCCCATCGGGAGGTTCCCCGGTGGGTTGACCCAATGCTAGCTCCTTGTGGTTAGCCGGCCGGGAGGATGTTGCAGAGGCTATCAGACTGATTTCAATCAATATCAGGGAAGCGCCGACCCAGCCGCACTCCAGATGGGTCTGAAAATCAGGGGAGTTAAAGCCAATTGACTCTGTGTGTCGCTCTCAGATGAACTCTCCCGGAGAGGGCTCCTGGACATTAGTTTGGTGCCATATCCATGAGGCTGTGCCGAGAGCCTGTGTCTGGTATTTGTGTTGGGCGCCTCCCACCCAGAGCAGGGCGCATGTTGTGCCGGACGCGACAGAGACTCTGACCGAGACCAGGGCCCTGTTGGGTTGGGAGCTGTCCAGACTGTGTTCCAAAAAGTTTTAATTTCCTGACAGCCCAGGGAAAGGGACAAGAAACTAGAATACCAGGAGTCCTGGCTCCCAACTCCCTGTCCTGTGCTAATCACTGGACCCCACAAGCAAGCTGGGGAGAGATTCCCAGTCCCTATTTAAAATCCCCTTCCCATGTCCCTGTCCTGTTCTCACTTTCTTTCTGTGTCTCTCAGGGGCTTTATATCGGCACCAGCTCCAGCTTCCTCATCCCACCTCCAAACCCTCCTCTAGCTGAGTCCTGGGAACCAGCCATTCTCCTGACAGATGCGTCTGACTCTGGGGAGGAGCTGGGATTTGCAAGCAGCCCAGAGAGCTCTCCGCTCTCTTCCCCACAATCCCTGATCCCCCTCCCCCACCCCACTCACCAGCCCCAGTCCTGGGGGGCAGGAGAAAGGCAACAGGCAGCAGGATCAACATCAGGATCAGCATTGTCTCTGTCTGGGGAAAGTGACGGGGTTTGAGCCTCAGCCCCGGAGGCTTTATAGAGCCAGCGGCAAGCCCCAGAGCACGTACGCTCTCCCTTCATGGGGCCCTGAGAAACCTCAGGATCACACTACTGATATGTGTGGGGCCAAGGGAGCGAGCTGATAGCTGGAAAACTCTCTCCCCCGGGAAAGTCCCTTTGGGACAGGGATATCCCCGCAACCATCTGGGAGCAAGGCACCCTAGTCTGGTGCCCAGCACACCAGGCACCAGGCCCCGCTGAAGCTCACCCATCTCCTCTGCTCCAGCAGCTCCTCTGGTGGAGAACGCGGGCGATGCTGAGTCACTCGCTGGCTTGGCTCAGCTCCCCGCTTCCTGCCCAGAGCGTGTCTCGCAGCTCTGACCAGAGGATGGGGAACTGGCTGTGGGTTCCTGGAGCCCGGCCACAGATCCCATGGCAGAATCACTCCCAGGGGGTGGGGAGCACATAGTCCTTGTGGTGGTGGATCTTGGGGGGGAGGGGGGGAGGACAGATGTCATGGTGATGGGGACAGAGAAGACCCTCTTGAGAGACTGTGAGAGGTGCGCTCCTCTGGTTAACTGAGGAGCGAACGTCCCCTCCCACCAGGGCTGACTGCTGGGAAATCTGTGGGCTCCGGGACATGGCTTAAAATTGTCCTGCCCATTTCTCGGTCAGACCCCTGGAAAGTCGTAGTGTTTTCCGTAAGGCTCCAGCCTCAGGAGTCATCTGTGAATCTCGGATTTTTTATAGAAATTGGACAGTTTTAGCCCAGGAGGCTATCCGGGGGGG